CAAATATCTCGAGGACCCGGCCTACGACCCCAAGACTTGGAAAATTTCAGGCCAGTACCTGTATTTCTCGAGTTTGGAAGACGAGTGCAAGCGACATCTGGAGGATGGACTCCATACATCACGAGAAGAGGGCAAGAGCCCTGATACTCTGGTGTATTGGGTCCTTCTTCTTCCCCGACCATCGGGCCAACGGAGTCAACCTTTACTGGTTGTCCCTGTTGACTGACATCGATGCCATTCTGGGGTACAGCTGGGGTGGAACGCTTCTGGCCGGGGTATATAGAGCGCTCTGCGACGCCTGCGATAGAGAACAAAAATATATCAAGAGCTGCGTGCAATTGATTCAGGTAAATTTATTTATTGTTAATTGCAAATTAATTTTATTTATTATAAATTACAATAATATGTGCTAAAAAATGTATATGTTCATATGTGCAGGTTTAGGCATCGGAACGCATCCCTCGTATTCGCCCAATCATGAAGAGAACGCATTTCGGCTCTCAGGCTGGTTGTCCTTCGGGTGCAAGATAATAATAACCTTTATTTATATTTAACACTTAAGTTATTCCAATTATCAAATTTTGTAACTACAAATAGTTTTTTTATGTGATTTTTAAGGTGGGTGGGATTGAGGGACTTGAGACACGTGGGGAAGGGCACGGCTACCATCCGAGATCAGTTGATTGGCCTAAGAGAGAGTGATGTAAGTTTCTTATGTCATAATAATAAAAAATAATTTTTTAATTCTATTTTTTTATTAACTTCATTAATAATTTTATAAATGTTTATTTTTTTTTTACCGTTTGATTGGGTACCTCTCAGATGTACATACACGATGGTCGGCACTCAGACCAGTATACACGAGACCGACATCTCTAGATGTACAAGGGGTGGATCTTCTGCTGGAACATCCGAGAACCCCACCAGCCTGATAGGGTGCTCCGCCAGTTTGGGTGTCACCAGCCCATCCCCCAGACGTCGATCATTACGTGTCTGGCCGACTGGGACACCCACCACAAAGGCCAGGGCATGACTGGCAGGGCATATACCAATTGGCGGGCCTTCCATTCTGATCTTGGGAGGATCTGGACTGACGAAAGAGATCAGAATGTCCTCCCAGATATACCGGTGGATTCCTTCCTACAGCCGGCACAGGTACATTGATTGGTATCACAGTAGGACTGTGAGACTATTCAGTGACCCTAACAACTATGCGGCGATCTCACAGGACGACGGGTTTCAGCCATGTGCCGACCGGTTGAAGTGTCAGGTAAGTGTCTGGTAATTTGTGATTTTTATTATTATTAAAGTTATTATTATTATTATTATTATTATTATTATTATAGTTGTTCATAATAGTTATTTGAATTTTATTTTCAACATTCGGGTACGGAGGGGACATATAACACGCTATCGAACGTTCAAGACATGTTTGGTACGCTACCTCCCCGAATGCAGGAAGCGGTCCAGCAGTCCCATGAACTTCTGTACGCTTCTCTGACTGTTGGGGGTCAGTCGGTCACACAAGGGGCATCGTCGGGGCAAATTCTGTCTCAAGAGGAGTACGCCTAACCCCAGCAGATACAGTCTCAGCGGGCGAGGCATAGACCGGCGGCACACATTGGTGGAGGGGGTGGAGGGAATGAAGAAGACGAATAAGGTGAGATTTTTTTTACTTACCTACAAATATATATATTTTTTTTTGTTTGTTTTTATTTATTTTTCCGGTCGAATTACTGATTTTTTTACAAAAAAAAATTAATTAATTAGGTGAAGAAGAAGAATAAGAAGCAGCCATGCCTGGACCGACCGCAACATCGTCTTCTTCGGTACCACAGCCTCGGAGAGGGTCCCGAATACGCAGGTCTAAGAATGCATATACTCCTAGTTAGTTTGTGTTGTATTCTGTGATTTTGTGGACATTTTCTTTTTCTTTTTCTTTTTTTTTTTGTACTGGAGTTTGAGATTTTTATTCTTGATGATTTTGTGTATATATTTTGTGGTTCACTTTTTTTTATCGGTAATTGTTCTTGACTTTTTGTATGTTTTGAGATATTTTTGTTATGTTTCGTGTATGCATGCATGCTAGATTATTATTTGACGAATGAATTGATATTAAAGTGATATTATTTCGTGTTGAAAATGTTGAATCAAAATTTATAAAAAACCTTCATATTGAAGGATAACATTAAAAATTCAGCCAAAATAAACGAGATCGCTGGTAAACGAGTTCGTGACATTCAAGAGTCGAGCCCTAACTTAAAATAAATAAATAAATAAATAAATAAATAAATAAATAAACACAGATTTTAAGAATCCGTGTTATAACTTAATTAGTCTAATTGAAGTCAAATTAGTACAATCTCAGTCAATTATAGTGTAATGGAACTCGAATTAGTCCAATTAAAGTCAAATTAATTTATATGTAATAGTTTATAGTTTATATTTTATAGTATATAACATAGTTTATAACATATACTATATACTATATGTTATATAAACTATATACTATATGTTATAAACTATATACTATATACTATATATTATATTATATACTATATGGTATTATATAGTTTGTAATATACATGTATATACTATGGCAAATTATAATATATATGTATATACTATATATTAAAAATACTATATACTATAAAAAATCTTGATATTGAAGGATAAATTATATGTTGCGCAAAAATAAACGTGATAGCCTAGCAGTCTAATGGTAAGGAGGTGTGCCCAGAGATAATGGACTCGCCCCCCAGGTTTGAGTCCCGATCTGGACCCCTTCTACCACATTTAATGATTTTTGTAAACGGATTTTGAGAATTCGTTTTACAATTCAGAATTCATTTTACATAAAAATTAAAATAAAAAATAAATAAATAAACATATATTTTAAGAATCCGTGTTATAATTTAAAACGGATTTTGAAAATCTATTTTACGTAACACGGATATTCACAAAACGTGCTTGGTTGAATTAATTAGGGTTAATCACGTCATTAAGGGAAGACAGATTCTCAAAATCCATTTTTTGCTCGGAATTAAGAAAAAACGGATTCTCAAAATCCGTTTTTCCTTAAACACGTGATTCTGGAAATCCGCCTATTTTATTTTTTTCCAGACCAATTTTTTCTGATTTATTTTTGTCCACTTAATTTTTTTTAATTAATTAAATAAATGATTCTCTTTTAAACACTTCAAGTCTCAAAATTGTGGCCATTTTTCAACCATTTCTGGGCCATTAAACACGAGCGGCGAGCCACACTAAAGCCCAGTTACCCTAAAGTTTTTCCAAATATATTTAGCCCAAACGCGCCATTTTTATTCTCCAATCAGCTCAGAAACCCTAGCCGCGGAGTCCACATTGACGTCGTCTTTTCCGCATCCCAGAGATCTCTACGCAGCAACAATGGTGACCGATTACTTCCTCTGATTCACTCTGCAGTGACGCACTATACGTTTTCACAACCTTTTTCTCACTTTGTTGTTTGCTTTGCATTTTCAGGCGGATGTTGAGCACGAGTTGGCGACGGGGCAGCCAAAGAAGAGGACTTTCAAGAAGTTCAGCTTCAGGGGCGTCGATCTTGATGCCCTACTTGATATGTCCACCGACGAGCTCGTCAAGCTCTTCAGTGCCCGTGCCAGAAGAAGGTAAGTTGTATTCTTCTTCGAGCTAGTAATGGTTTTATCTCTTATCCAATCAGTAAATTTAATAGACTGTTATTAAGTTGGGGTAGTTTAGATTTGGGCATTGCTAAAGTCAAGCACAATTTTTGTGTGTATGGTTTTTAAATTTGATTGATTGGCATTAGTGAGTGATACATTGATTTATCTAACTAAGGAACGTTGTTTGTTGTTTTCGTGTTAAGAGATTAGTCTGATGGTCTGTCGATTATGGAGATTTAAAATTTGCATTATGTTGCTTGCATGATGAAATGCCAGGTTCCAGAGAGGTCTGACGAGGAAGCCAATGGCTCTGATCAAGAAGCTGCGCAAGGCGGTAAACTTTCTATGTCAAATTACTGTGTCAACCTAATGAATTGTGATTCTTGTTAATTATAATGTGATCCTTATGTTTGTCACTTGACCTTCAAATTAGTTTCTTATCCCGACCATTATCTTCGCTCGAGTCAACCCTACTAAATTTTAGGAGATGTTTATCATTTTGTCAATGAAAGCGTTGATTTCTTATTTTGAAATCTTCAAATGGTGGATGATGTATACATTTAATCAAATGTTTTGAAATCTTCAAATGATGGATGATGATGATACATTTAGTCAAATGTTTTTGGTGATGACCAATACTAATCCCCTAATTGCTGAATGTGGAATGCTGAATGCTGATGAAAATGTGATTTAATTCATGATATTTGGAGCTACTCATAGTTTCTCTCTATGCACGATGTAATTATGTTAAATGTTACATAAACTATACATAGTTAAGCTGACTTGACCATTTCATAGTTAAAGATGGGGAGTTTGCATTATTTTCCATTGATGGAGTAAGTTTCTGCCTGTTGTGTAGAAACGTGAAGCTCCAGCCGGAGAGAAGCCTGCTCTAGTGAGGACCCACCTTAGGAACATGGTCATTGTCCCCGAGATGATTGGGAGTGTACTTGGTGTTTACAACGGCAAGACCTTCAACCCAGTCGAGATCAAGCCTGAAATGATTGGCCTCTATCTTGGTGAGTTCTCGATATCGTATAAGCCGGTCAGGCATGGTAGACCAGGTATTGGTGCCACCCACTCTTCAAGATTCATTCCTCTGAAGTGAGAATGGTGGAGCTCCATGTGGAGGCATGAGGAGGAAAAAAATCTGTTCTGATTTCAATTTCGTGCTATTTTTCTTGCTATCTTAAGCATCTAATCTCATTTCCTGTTGTTAGTTGAGGGGGCAACTTGTGTGTGAAACGTGTTGGGCAAATTTTAAGTGAGGATGTTTATTTTGTTAAGACTTCTTTGGATTGCTCTTTTGTTGGCTTTGGTTACCTCTTTTGTTGGCTTTGGTTACCTTTTATGGGGATATATTTTATTGCATTGTTGTGAATCTTGAGAGGGTGCTTGGACAAGATTTTTCCACTCAATTCATCGCGTTTTGCATCACTTTTTAAATCTCAATATTAACAATATAATTACATGCATTAATCCCCTTGTATTATAATAGTGTGTGCGTGTTATCTTCTGTATTTTAGAAACTGTGTTATACCCTTTTGTATTTAATGTACTTAATGTCTAACAGTGTTTTTAAAAAGGAAAATGCTACGTATACATAAGAATGATACATAACACTCACATAGAGTAAGGTTTACTTGATTTTTTTTTTTTGGTCGGTCTCACTCAGTGTGAGTGTTATATACATTCTATGTACAATATTATATACTTATATCATGTCTATTTAATAAAAAAAAAAAAATTGCATTGTCTCTTTGAATTTATTGTCTAAAAATTACAGTGTACTCATTTGTAGTTAATGTCTATTTAAAAAAAAAAAAAAAAAAAAAAATGCATCATGTCTCTTTCAATTTATTGTCTAAAAATTACGGTGTACTCATTTATAGTTAATGTCTAATGGTGTTACTTTACTTCTTTGTATTTGATGTCTAACCGTGTTATCGTGTTATTTTACAACTGACTAGTATTGGACTTTGTGTATTTGCACAAATGTAATTAAAGTATTATAAGTTATTTGTATGCATATAATATTAAAAATATAAGTTAGATAATAGTATTATATTTTGGACATATAGTGTTATAAGTTATATTTATGCATATAATATTAATATAATAAGTTAAATAAAAGTATTATGTTTTTAAATTCGATCATTGATTAAAATAAATAGTACATAACGATTTAACTGTATATGAATCTCGATATTGGTTGCATATAGTATAACAAATAATGTAATATTTTTGTAATTCTTGGGGATGAAGAACAATTAATTAGCTCAAAATATTAAATTTATTATAACAATTGTTTATGCGATTTTAAAGAAATTTACTATGATATTAAAACAAATTTATTTATTTAAAAAACAATTGCTTAAGAAAATAAAAAAATATATATAATATTAAATTTAGAACAAATAACGTGAACAAAAAATGTTCGCAATACAAATTTTATGTTTGTATATAATTTTCATATATCATTTAGTGTGAAATGCAATTATTAATTATAATAATGACAGTTATATGATACAATAAAAAATACAACTATTACTCAATAATATAAAATGTAACTTTTTTGCCTTAATTAATCCAAAAAAAGTTCAAAATAATATTTTTTTTTTCACTAATGGTACAGGGTGGATTAATGTATTAACAATAATAATAATAATAATAATAATAATAATAATAATAATAATAATAATTATAGTAATAATAATAATAATAATAATAATAATAATAATAATAATAATTATAATGAATGATTATATTAGGAAAGTGCTATGTAGGTAAAATTTATTAGGTTTTATTTATGAAGTTTTATTTAATGATTAACTAAATATATATAAGGTATTATTAGTTAGTTACATATTTAAATTTTTCAAATTAACTTTTGAGAAATAAAAATAGAAGACGATAAAAAAAAATTAATAATACAAAAGAAATATCTCCCTTAGAGCACCCACAATGATTTGAGTCTCTTTTTGTGTATGTGGCATATAATTGGATTTGGGTCTTAAATGACATGGACAAACCCAAGTGAAAAAACCCAAAAATATTCCAATGCAAAAACAAAATACTAGGTCTAGACTATTTAAAAAAAAAAGAAAAATTGTGGATGATTGATGACTAGTCAGGTTTTTGCTTGAGTCCAAAATAGACCAAGGGTGAGCTTTGTCTATTTTTTTATTGCCACATAAGCTAGACTATGTCCAAATTTAATTGCATTGACAGACATTTTTTTTGATAGACCAAGCCTAATTCCTACATGACATGTACTATTTTTTTAAGAGACCCTATGCATTGTGGGTGCTCTTATATATTAATTCAGAACGTACTGAGTCTAAGTGACAGACCCACATGCTTCGAGATCCTATTTGGCAAAATTGCATACTTCGTTATTAGGTTTGGGTAGACGTTTAATTTACTTCCAATAAAAAAATAATTAGGTTCGGATTATCCACAAATATGTTGATTATTTATGATCATGTTACATGTATTAATTACATTTGGATATAATTTCTTATTTTAACCATTGAATTGTAATTGTATTTTAAAAAGTTAATAACTTTATTTTTTATCAGTTTTACATATATAATATATCAAATTAATCATCTTTTGATGAGTTTCGATTTAACATTCATAGTATGTATGAAAAGGATAAATTATATTTCTTTTTATAACAATAATAAAATTGTTTCTAATATTAATTAAAAAATAAAATTATTTAATCAATTAATATTTTTATATTTGAAGAAGTTATATGATATAAGTTATAAAAATTACTATAGTATTACGCATGTAAGTCGCACAAGTAGCAAGTGTCATTCTAAAATATAATAATATATATTTAAAAAAAACTAAATAAAATTATAAATAATTTTCTCATTAATTTTAAAATTTAAAAATGATATTTTAACAAGTACCGTATAATACACGGGTATCGTACTAGTGAAAAGGGTAAAGAGAAAAAGGAAAAGTCATATCAAAATACTCACTCACTCACTCACACACAGCGCCAACACTGTCTACCTACGAAGAAAAGAGGTGTCCCATTGCAGAGAGAGAGAGACGAAATTTTCAATTCTGCAATTTTCATTTTCCAGGTTTATTCAAAATCAAAGCTTTCTCATCCACTCTTCATAGTCTATTTTTTTGCTTGTTATTTCTGAATTTTTATGGTATAACGAGTGTGATTTGTCTTTATTCGTAGAACCCTAGAGACTGTTGTCTGTATTCGTAGAACCCTAGAAAAATTTCTTATTCTCTGTCTCAATGCTCTTTTTTCTTCATGAGGGATCATCACGAGTACAATTATTTTGAGGATATTTTGGTTTTCTTTCTCCGTTTTGTATGTGTTAAGTTTTTAAGATGCCCTGGAGCTAACCATTTTATAAATTTCCTTCCTGAGGAGCTCTATAGATGAGCTAGGAACCGTAAGCTAACTTTAAAATGGTATAAATTAGTGTCCGATTTGTCGAAGGTGTTAAAAAAAAAAATTGTCTTTTGTTCTAGCTTTGATGTTGTTTATTTATTTATTTGTTTGAAAGCTTGTTCTTGTAACAGAGAGTTGGCAACTGTTGATGTTTCATTTTACGTTCGAACACCGATGGGTGTCGGGTGCTGTATCGGGTTGAGAAGTACTGCGTAAATGACTTCAAGAAGAGAGTAATGGATGATGATAATATGATTGGTTGTTATTATGTTTTGTTTGAAAAAAGAAAAAAAAGGACCATCGAATTTGCAGATATGAGCAGGACAGGAAGAATGTTTTAGTGTTGGATTAATTGACCAAGGCATTGCACTGTCACTGTTTATTTTCATAGTGATTGGATATTCTTAGTGCATCTTACTCATGCATATCCTGCCTTGGAAAGATAGAAGGAAAAAAGATGAAGAAAAACCATATATCTCCTGGCAGGTATCTATCTAAAGGAAAAAACAAAAGAAAGAACGTAAAATGTATCTGAAATCAAAGCTATCGTGGAACGTGGTCCTCCCTGCCGAGAAGCTGGACATCAAGGGCCTGATGCTCCAGAAGGCCATAATCACGGGCCTGATGGCCGAGTTTGCTGCGAGAAAGGCCTCCCGGGAGCTCGGGTATTTCTTGGCGGTGAACACAATCCATAGCATAGGGGAGGGCAAGGTTCGGCAGCAGACGGGTGATGTCCTTTTCCCGGTGGAGTTCAGCTGCCTGACGTTCAAGCTATTGGCTGGGGAGGTGTTGGATGGTGAAGTCCACAAGATTCTGAAGCATGGTGTGTTTATCAGGTGTGGGCCTGCTGAGAATGTCTTCCTCTCTCACCAGAAGATGGATGACTATCAGTATGTACCAGGTGAGAACCCTTACTTTATCAATGCTAAGTCCTCGAAGATCGATAAGGGAGTTGTTGTGCGCTTTCTGGTGATTGGGGTGAGGTTTGTGGAGGCTGAGAAGGGCTTCCAGGCTGTTGGCAGCCTGCAGGGTGACTACCTCGGCCCTGTCTCTTAGTGGATTTTCTTATTATCTTTTGGTATGATATGACTTCATGTGAAAAGTTGAACTTTTTGGAATGTGTTGCTGATTGTGAGCAGTGGCTCTTGGCTGATTATGAACATGGGATGTCGTGTTTGTGTTAATTTTCGGGTGTTAAGTAAGTAGAGATTCACTAGTATTGATGAATATATGTTTTTTCATTTTGGATTTTGGGAGCCTGATTATAATGGGTAAAATGTGTTTTAACGATAACTACATTACATTTGCCGGTTATCTGTGTATATACCATCAAGTGTAAGATGCAATAACTACATTCCGGTTGCTGGTAATCTGTGTAGTTGTAAAATTATGGCCTCAGTAGTGTACTTTTGGTGGGAGATCTGTAGGAATGTGCCCTTAAGGACAAGTGATTTATTGTTTGGAATCATTAAGTTGCACAACTTACAAGTGACAACTAAAGTTTGTGCCACGTTAAAAAACCAAGTGTTAAATCATGTGCAAATGAGCAAAAATTGGATAGTAACCAAGTGTTAAATCATGTGCAAATGAGCAAAAATTGGATAGTAATTTAACATTAAGACCGAGTCTGAACCAAGTTATGATTTCATGTTAAACACCCATTTCCTATGCCCCGGTCGGCATAAATGTTAAATGCTCACTTCTTCCACAGCCAATTTTAAGTTTTCGCTCAAGAAACTGGGAAGAACAGTCCTTGAACATAATTGAAGCGCTAGAGAAAGTCGAAACAGTTCATCGACCAATTTTTTACTTTATTCTATTTGATTTTATTTTATTTTATCTAAAAGTATTGCACAATTTCCATTTGCTAAGTTAGCCATATTTAGTTCAATATAAATACGACTATACGGAGCTATGAATGTCCAACCTCTCCAAACAATACCTACCAGTAGGCAACAAAGTTACAAGGTTGTCCTGGACAAATACTCCCTCTCGGGAAAATCTGATTACACTTATGGCCCTGAGAATTCTGTTTCGGATTCTTCCTGAAAATCATAAGGAAAGTTTGTTTCTAAATCGGAATTATTAACCGAATCGTTATTTTCGTCAACTCTGTCATCCTCATTATCATATGTCTCGAGGTAAGAATCATCTCCTTCCTCCTGGTGAGCAAAAAAAAAAAAAAAACGAAGTGCATAGTAAGAAATAAATCCAGCTACCTAACTTTACGGCAATTCCTGAAAATCTTACAAATCATCAAGGGATAATAACAAGAGTACCCAGGAGGTTTGAACCAACAACAAAAGAACACAGCTATATGCAAACAAATAAGGGGCACAAACGGTAGTCTTTTACAATTGCAAAGGGGAGTTTGAAACGTTGTTTGTGTCAGTTATGAAGGGGAGATAAATATAAGACAAGAAAATTAAACACGTTTATCATAATTTTAAGAGTTATATAGGTCCCCGTGTTAGATAAAACACAAACCTCGCTGTCCTCATCTTCAGTAATGTACGCCGACTCCAGCTTGTTATAAAGCTCTTGGTCTCCTTGTTCTTTAACAGACGCCATTTGTTCCTACAATTGTGCAAATAAAGATTTCATTACCAACACTCCGAGAGTGGAAAAGAGGAACGAGAATAAAGAAATTAAAATAAGTATGAATACAGTTCGTCATTGATAATGAGTACAAGAGGCATACAATTTCACTTCTTAGTTGGTTCGCTCTTTCTTGCACGGTTGAAATGTGGTTCAATAGGGCCTGCGGGAATTCAATGTAGTTAAAACAAGAGTAACAAATTGCGAGTACTGAAAGTGGTAAACTACAAACTGCCATCCAGGTTATGTCAAACTGGAAACAAAAGAAAAAAAAGAGCACATTGATTGTTTAGAAATTGTGGAGTACCTCCTTGAGGCATTACTTATATCAACCAACTTTGATATATTTCTTGTTTTACAAATACACCCATCAATATTATAATTTGCAAAATAGAATAATAATAAACATCAAGGGGCCATCAATAATTTAAAAGGTAACTGGATTATAATATAACTATGCCAAAATGTGAAGCAGCCAACTGAAGTACCTGGCGCCTCTGAAGCTCGATCGAACGCGCTAATGCTTTTCTTTTAGTCAAAAGGTTACTGGGCCTCAGCATTTGAGGCCTTCTATAATCCTTGCCCCGGAAAACAACTATTGCATATCCTTTGGATACTTTATCTACAGAAACCAAAACACCTCCACTCTCGGCTTCAAGAGATAGCGCAATAGCCTTAACTTCCTCTATGTTTGGGGCCTTAACAATGATCTTCACTAATTCTCTATATTTCCAGTGTAAGTGCATGTTCTCCACCGTGCCACCAAAAACCCCACGCCTCCCTAAAAGGATTTTCTTGTAAAACAAAATTTCAAAGGTAAAATGGAAGTATTCTGTGAACAACGTATGGTTTTACCGAGAAGTAAAAATGCCTTCATCCTTAATCCAAGCTTCCGAAGCATATATCTTTCTTCATCAGTAAGGCTTTCCTTGTCTTCTGCACGATCAGTTGGATTCAAAGACTCCTCCACCTTTAACAAGGTGCGTTCCCCTTTGGCTAGCTTCCTCTCCGCCTGTTAGGAGAAATTCCAAATCGTTTTGAGATAATATAAAATAATTAATACCTATCGCAAAAAGATGAAAATATAAGCAAAAATAATTTATCAATGTCGAAGATGGGGTGTTGCAGAAATTACCCTGGTGCTTCAGCTTATAAACAAAAATCTCCAGATATTTTCTTAAATAAAATATAAAGTTATAAACTACTACCCGTGCTTGTTAAAAAAATTATTCTTAAATTTTTAATTAATGAGAAAAATTATTTTAAATTATATTTACTTTTTTACAAAAATATATAGTATTATATATTTTAGAATGACACTTGTTACTTGTGCGACTTACATGTGTTATGTTATAATAATTTTTATAACTTATATCTTATAACTACTTGAAATATAAATGTATTAATTGATAAATAATTTTATTTTTCTAATTAATATTAAATAATTTTATTATTGTTATGAAGATAAATATAATTTATTTTTTTATACATACAATATGGATGTTTCGATAATATATTTTAGAATGACACTTGTTACTTCTGCGACTTACATGTGTTATATTATAATAATTTTTATAACTTAAATCTTATAACTACTTGAAATATAAATGTATTAATTGATAAATAATTTTATTTTTCTAATTAATATTAAATAATTTTATTATTGTTATGAAGATAAATATAATTTATTTTTTTATACATACAATATGGATGTTAACTTCAAGAGATGATTAATTTGATATATTATATACGTAAAAGTAATAAAAAATATAAAAGTTATTAACTTTTAAAATACATTTACAATTCAATGGTTATAATAAGAAATTATATTAAAATGCAATTAATACATGTAGCATGACCATAAATAATCAACATATTTATGGATATTTTGGACCTAATTATTTTTGGATTGGAAGTAAATTAAAGTCAACCCAAGCCTAATAACAAAGCATATAATTTTCTTACATAGGATCTCGAAACATGCGAGCCTGCCACTTAAGCTCAGCACGTTTTGAATTAATATATAGGGAGAATTTCGTCTAATAAACAATTCCTTGAAGTTGACACTTGTTACCTAAGAAAATCCCCTCTTGAGGGTGCAATTAGTAAAAATACGGTGAACATTAATGGAGAATTTGTAATCTCCTGCAATAACTAGAATCCGTAATTATGGCAAAATCCTTTTACCCGCTAAACTACTCTGAATATATCAAATTTAACTACCAAAGAAAAAAATTCTCTCACATGCAGAACTCTAAATCTTGCCCTCAACTGCTTAGGGAGCTGACTTGGACCTACCATGAGTTGGCATAAGTTACTTTTTTGTTGGGCCAGAGAATAAAATACAATGGATCATATACTTTGGAGGGGGAAAAAAATAACATGTTTCAAAATCCATTTGCACGGAAAGAACATTATACTCCCTCCATTTCATTTTATCAGTCACATCTCTGAAGATTTTTTTGTTCTATTCTTATTGTCACATTAAGAAAAGCAGGACTAATTAATGACGAGTTATTAATGTTAATCAATTTAATATTTCTTTTCTCAATACCATTTGATTGGAGAGTCATATGATTTTCTCATCAAAATTTGAATCAATAATTAAAATTTAAAGCATTTTAAATTTATAAACGTAAAGACATACTTCTTAATATGTATGAAAAAACATAAGACGGCAAATAGAATGAAGGGGGAGTAGTTTTGTGGACAAGTGAATAAACCCATTTTAATCATACTAAACCTTCAGGGCATATATTTTTTTTTTTTCAATTAACCCTATTAAATCCACTATATATTCTCTAACAATGGCTATATTTGAGTATTTGACAAACACCACCACCATGGATAAGGCAATGAGTTTCATTAAAAGAGAAGGAAAAAAAAAAACTTACGAAAGAGAGCTTCTTCTCGAGCTTCCTCACAAGGTTGGCATGCCTCAAAGCCTTAGCTTCTCTCATCACCTTCTCCTCGTGATCATCATCGAGTTTTCTTCCCCATCTACTGTCTGCATCTAAAGTCTCTTTAAGTGTTCCAGCAGTTTTAGATTTATCAATCTTTTCCTCATTTGATACGACTAAGACTGATGACACCCTCAGCCGTGCTTGTTCCTCTTCATCCTGCAAGGCCTTTGCCAGTTTCTCTTTTTCCAAAAGTACTTTGGCAACATCAGGTGACAAAAAATCTTTGCCCCTGTAATAGACCAAAAAGTCCTTGTTTCTTGATAAAAGTGTGCCCCCAGTTAATCTCTGCACCACAAACAAACTTGGCCCAAATTACATTATTTTTAAATTAATTTTAAAAAACTAGATTTTTAGGAGGTGGTTGGGGCTGTTTATGAGAAACAAGACAGCAGGAATATCTCAAATAATTAATTTGGAAATTCAATCTCCAGATTTTTTAAACTCTATTCAGAGGTCGGAATATACTGGTTAAACTGTGGATATGGTAGCAACAAGTTAAATGCTCCGATAGCTCATCATAATAATTAAATTTATTGATCATGGGGCAAAAGAATAAACAATTTCACCACTCAAAGATATTATTCATAGAATTTAAAGTTGTAGATTTTCTGGTCAAGGCCATGATCTTTGGAATTCAATACCATTGGATTGGCAATATTTCTACTTTATTGTTTAGTTATTCAGCTTGTTGTGTGATTATACAATTTATAACAACTTAAACAAACTTTGAGTTACTGACATATTAAGTCACCTTGAGATCCTCAGCCATTCTCTCACTAGTTGTCAGCTGGACTCCACGTTTAAGTGCAATTTTCACAATTGAACTTTTTTCCCATAGCTTAATCATGGCTGCAGCTAAACCTTGATGCTGCCTGCTTCTTCCTGAGGATTTACAATCATCAATTTTATAGTATTCTCTTTCATTTATTCTTGAGATACTATCATAACTGTAGAGCTTCACCTAGTTACCAAAAAAAGGGAATAAAATTAAGGTATTATACTATTAGTAACGCCCTCTTGAGATTTGTGTATTCTGAAGAAACATCGACCTACTGAAATTTGTAAGTGGTAAAACAATAACAAACATCATGCGTGTGTTTGTAAGTTTTCTTTTTAATAAGATTAAACGTAGATAGTATTTCTGCAATTAATCATATATTCTAAAATGAAATGAGCATACCAAGAGCAAAATGTGGTGGTAGGCTTCTAGCGAGCCTTCGTAAGGAAGTTGCTTCCTTTATTCCAAGTGTAGACCTAATGCCATACGGCAGTAATCTGAAAGGCGGTTGATAACCGGGGATGACACTTGGCAGCAAATCAGCATCTATAGGAAGTGGACCCTCTCCCGGCCAATCAGTGTACCTTGGTCCTAGGCTATCTAATAGCTTGTCCATTTCATGTTCATATCTCACTTCCGTTGGTCTTTCGAGATTTCTATTTTCTTGACCAGAGCTAGTTGACTTGGCCTCAAGTGCATGAGAATTGGCTGAAGGATCAAAACCAGAAGAATCTTGAACGGTTTTATTATCAGTGGTGGAAGGGGGCAGATGGGATATTTCCTTTTTCGACAATATTTTTTTCTTTAACCTCAATCGGGGGTCTTCATAATTCACACCTCTGTAAAGCGAGACAGAGGTGCCCGATCTCCAGATAACAAGTCCACCAGTTTTTCTCTAAGTAACAGAAATACAATGAACAACCAATAAGAATAATGGCATTCAGAAGGTATATTCGAAAAGGAAAAGACATAAACTTTTCTCTCAATATTCCGTGATGAGACTTGTGCAAAACAGTAAGTTCAGCATATCCAATGGGGAAGGAAGGTAAACTAAAAGATGCAATCTGAGGATACACACTAACATACTAACCTGATCTAGCCAAGCCAAAATATTTACCTTCAAAGAACACATAAACACATAAAACAGAAACACAAAGCAAAATCATACCAGTTGGACGGCAAATAACTTCTGCATGAGTCAGACATTAGATATTTTGAAATACTTTATGAAGGTTATCGTGTCAATTTTGAAATGATGAAACTTCTAACTCTTCTGAACAATTTATGGGCAAAGTTACAGGAAGTCAAACATAACAAACTGACTATTAAAAGAGTCATTATTCCGATTACAACTACTTGCACCCATCTTCACATTGTCATAACACAACAGATGTTTAAAGAACAGAAATATAGTAATATTCAAGACACAATCAAAATAAAGTCCACTGAAACCTTTGAGAGAGAGAGAGAGAACAAAAAGAAGGTACCTCTAATATACCATGCACTCGCTTCATGTTAAGGGCAGGGGGCCCTTCGACCTTCAACCTGACGACCTCGGATGATTTCCACTTGTCATGAATTGTGTCCACAACCGCTTGTGTCACACCAGCCCCACTAATCTTCGTCTTGTTCTTAATCTTAAGTGCCAAATTCCTCAACCTCCTCAGCTGAGACTCGGGCAGAGTCAACTCCGCCAGACTGCGCTTCTTCCGACTGTCCAGGCTCCCTTCTGGTTCGCTTTTCTCCCAAGGGAATTTTACCTCCCGACTAGTTCTTGAATCCCCAAATGGGAAATCATTGGAAAACCCACCCCTTGTGTTTGGCAGTAATCCTTCCTCGATATGAAATATATCCTCTACGGACCCTTTTTCGATTCCTCCACCGTTGCTATCCTCTTTTTCACTAACATCGTCTACATAACCGAATTTCTTCAATTTTTCGACAATTCTTTGCATCGTGCTGCCACCAGTGCTAGTACTGGTGCTCTCTTCAGAATCCGAGCCCGAAAAGTCCCCAGGATTCCTATAACTTACTACTGGCTCGGGCCTTTTCCCGTTATTCGGCTTAGAGCTTGCCTTCCAATTATCCAGCCAAGAACTGCGAGATAAAATAATAGGTCCACTATTTATTCTTTTCGGTTCACTGCCGAAATTACCTCCAATGTACTTATTCTTGGGGAAAAAACTAGATTTCTTATTTGGGTCTTTCTGTGGGGTGAAATCGGAGCTGCTGGTCACATGAATTGCACAGAAAAATCGTTTCTTGGAGGAACCGGAGGAACCGTACCTGAAGAACTGTAGGGCTGTTCTCACATGGAGCTTGGAGACGGAGCTGGGGAATGAGTCCATTGATGAAGCGTTTGGGGGATAAAAGGGATAGCTCAGCATTAAAGCCATTTTCTATGCACATCTACAATCGTGCGAAAACGAAAAGAATTGGAGAAGAACATTTATTAAACAAAATATATGAAAAACAAAATATATGTAAGGAATTGAAGTTTGATGCCGAGAAGATGAGAAGGTTTTGAGGTGTTAGTTTGTGGGAAAAGGGAAAATTTTGTATCTCTTGGTTTGATTTATTTATTTAAAAAAAAAATTAAGTGGACAAAAATAATAATAAAAAAAGAGTGTAACCAAAATCAAAAATACGTATTCTCGAAATATGCTTTTCTAAAAAAAAATTATTAGAGAAATGTACTCCGAGAATATATTTTAAAATTATTTTTGTAAATTTTAAAAAAATATAACGCTCCGTTTTATTTTAAAGAATTTACCCAGTTTATTTATAAAAATCAGAGTTAATTTTTAGAAAAATCCCAATTTAAAACTTTGATTATCAACGGACGCTACTTAACTACCAATAACAATTAAACAAATGCGAATAAGCATAAAGAACCTACACATGCACAAACTATCAATTATCAAACCAAATTTATTCATAAGTCACAAAACAGACCAAATAGTTCAACATGATCCAACGGTTCATCCAACATTTTTCAAGATAACTAAAGCGGAAGCATAATAATCCAAAATAAAACAAGTGAATCAATAAGAACAATCATAGGCGGAAGCAAATGACACTAAATAAGCAACATCGAATGACCACCACTCGATCGTCTTCTCGCCGCCGTCGCCAATCATGTTCAACCTAAAGAAAGGAAGAGGAGACAGAGAGGAACAACAATGGGGGTGAGCAAAGCCATCATGCTCACCATTACCGCACAATATATCTCGCATAAAGATTCAAAACCATAAATAAAGTATGCATAGAATCGATGCTCTAACTCCCTACACGGCCCCATCGCAAACCTCCTATGTACATACAACAACCTTCCGATCAAACATCAACAAGGAGTAACCGGAAACACTCCCCCCGGATGCAACAGACATAGGATCCTTTCCGGAAGACAGTTGAGATGTTTTTCCCCCTCCGGATACAACGACACGGGGCGTCCTCCTCCCAGATACAACGGGCAGAAGATCTCTCACTGCTTATGCGTTCAGCAAAGGCACTATCAACGCGACACTTAGACTAGGGTTCTCACGCATACAACAGCTACCGAAACGAACATTTATACGAAATAATGAGTGCGATAATTATAGATACAACGTAAATGTACCCACCTGATTGCAGCGACAAATCGCAAGTACGAGGCTCGAATAAGTGGTGAGGTCAACACATCAAAACACTTACATGAAATCAAGATAGCCTCTGGATTACAATCTAATCTAACGAACACACAAACTTAGCTGAACACGTCAACTAAGTGGCTCGTGGAAATTTTCGTGGAGTTATGGAACATTTGACTTGACTCAAAACCATGTATGGGAAAGGCACATAATATACACATAAGGGGTGACCAAGTCAAACAAAAGTCAAAGGGGTCAATTGGAGTCAACGGTTCGGGAGAAAGTCCAAAAACTGAGGTACTAAATCGGGCTATCTCAAACTCAACCCGAGGTTTGACTCCAAGTAACGAACACATAACAAACATCAATAGGGAGCAACATTAAATCACATTGACAATCATACTTTACCATTATGAACTAATCTTCACAAAATATGACAAGTAAATCACATTTTCAAGATGACCAGGAAATTGAACGAGTTTTGACTTAAGATTTGAACACATAATAGACATTATTGAGAATATCAAAACTACCAAGTTTCAGTCCGAACACTTAAACATGTGATTTTATAAAATTAACACGAGATTTCAACAAAAACAAGTACTAATTTAATGACTGACCTAATGAATGATTTAAGACCTAATATTTTTATGCAAATAACTTCAGCATGCTAGGAGCAACATATAAAAATTCCAGGAATAAACACTGAACACATGAATTAAGATAATTATTGCAAGTTTCAGCAGAATCTATGATTTAAATAAAAACGTAATCTAATAAATTCAATTAATCCTGAAACTTTTACATTATCAAAGATAATATCAAATAAGCATATATACTAAGTTTCATGCATTTTCATCAAGGATCCAATTTTTCATGAATTTAACAATTTTCAGCAGAATTGATCAATTGCGTATTTACCCTAGCAAATAATTTTCAAAAATCATAAAACTTTTACACAAGGTAAATAAACATCATGGGAACAACATATCCAAATTTCAGAATTTTTGGACAACAATTCAATTTATCCCGAATTATACAAATCACGACAGCATCAATATGTTCAAAAATCCATAACTCACAATATATAATTCCAAATGATCCAAGGTCAAGACCATTATGAACAAGACGCACATATGTTTCATATTCCAAGAGTTTTCCACGATCAAAGAGCAAATCATAAAGGTTTCACCTTAAACCTTATAGATTTAATACTATACAATACATAAAATATCATAACTTAACATATTACTATAATGAATTCTCTCAGTTGAGAGCTTTGGATTCTCTCAGTTGGGAGCGTTTCACTGTTCGATTTTCGCTGATTTTGTTTTGATTCTTCCATCATTCTCTCATCCTTGTTCCCTTGGTCTTGCAGAGGTTGGTCATCTTCGTTCCAAGCATTGTCGCTGCTAGGGTTTTTCTGGATTCAGGCCATAACCTTTCTTTTAATGGTGAGGACATATAGTCCTACTCACGACGAGTATTTATCCACCCGTATGGAGAACTTCTCTCTTTAGGATTGGGAAGCCTTGCTAGTTGACATAGCCCAAGAAGATATTCGCTATAGCGCCGATGAATGCAACAGAAGTTTGTTCGGCAAAATAGTGGGAGATCGACCAGCAAGCTGGATAGGTATTAAAAGATCCATGGGTCATATTTGGAGGCTTTCTCAACCGATGGAGGTAAAGGAACTCGAGCCCAATTACTTTCGGTTCTTATTCCAAAGCAGAGATGATCTGAAGAAAGTGTTGGGAGGTACTAATTGGAGCTTCGAAAATCAGTACATGATTCTATCAGAGTGGAGAACTGGTCTTAGTAGTAAGCACTCTTGCTTTCAGGAGCTCAAATTATGGGTACAAGTGACTAATGTTCCTCTGAAATGGCTTTGCACGGAGGTGGGTGTTAAAATAGGCAAAGTTTTCAAAGCAGTGGATAATGTGGTTATCACAAACTTTGGGAATCATGGAGGCCAATTCCTTCGACTATTGGTGACTCTAGACTTATCAGAGCCTGTTCCTTGATGTACCAAAGTCAGATTAGGAGATCAAATAGTGACCATAAGCTTCATGTATGAAAAGATCAGAAGCTTATGTCATTATTGCGGGCACATCGGTCACTTAGAGAAAGGATGTTCTAAGAAGGTGCAAGACATCAGATCCAACAGTGTTGAAGAAGGCCAATATGGTGATTGGCTTAAAGCTCCTGAAGGTCTATTTTGGGCAACTAGCAGCAACATTAATAATGCAGGATCAAGGAGTCCTCCCCATAGCCCAAACAACTCCCAACAAACAACATACCCAGATCAATGCTCTCCACAACAGGACATGGCCAGCCAGGCATCCCTCAAAAACCAACTCATAATTCACTCAGCAGAACCTAACCCAAATCTTATTGCTTCAATCAATGGTTCATCTTCAAATTCCCCAACAGACCCTCTTATAACATCAGGATCCTCAAAATTAATTCCTCAGACGGAAGAACCTGTCAAACTCATGGAAATCGAAACTAGACTTCCTTTAACTATCAAGGCCAGTACTTCTGAGACACTTGACAAAGGTAAAGGCATTCTGAAAACATGGAAAATAGTTGGATCAAGGGAAGGCCGTCTGCAAAGACAAGAGGAACACCTTGAATCTCCTCAGCAAGGCAAGAGAACCAGAAACATAGCAGAACTCCCTGAGAACAAAGAGGAAGAAATTGATCAAGGGCAGCCAGATACAACAAATAAGAAAATGAAAGCAGGAGCAAAGGAGGTGGGGGCGACCAACCTTGAATGGCGCCCAAGTTCTTAATGTTAGCTGCGGTGTGGAACTGTAGAGGGCAGGGTGGGCCCTCTACAGTTTCCCAAATCAGAGAGATAGTAAGGTCTCATCACCCAGCTTTTATTTTCCTTTCTGAAACTAAGAAGTCTAATGCTTTTGTTAAAACTGTGGTTAGAAAGTTAGGCTTTGAGGATAGATTCTCTTTGGTTGATCCTCATGGTCTTAGGGGGG